ATTTTTCTTTATATAATAGAAAATTCAAATTTTGAGACTTTACAGTTTTTGATCCCTTATTAACTTTTTTAATATGTTTTCTTAAAGTAATGGAACATAGTGTCATTTTAATTAATTTTTTTTCTAATATTGCATACCTTAAGCGTGAGTGCGAAGGTATACCCTGTTATCGCCTAACCATATATGTTTTATCGTTTAATAAATATATTTTATTCGTCCGACAGTTGAAAAATTATTTTTAATTTTCAGACGAATAATAAATAATTATTTGTCCGACAATCAAAAAAAACAAAATAATTTTCCAACAGTCAATAATCCTCTCGTCTGAATTATCGGACAAATAAATATATATTATCCGTCCGATAGTTAGAACAAATTTATCTTAGTTATCGGACGAATAATTATGTTTTATTCGTCAAATAACTGAGATAAATTTTTTTTTAATTATCGGACGATTAAAAAATATTTATAAGTTCAACAATTGAACAAATACGAACTAATTTCAAGATTCTTAATGCCTAAATAAGAAAAATGTAAATAAAATATAGATTTTTCTCGTGTTATTATCCATTAAAATTTTATTGAAAATACAATTCAAAAATACATTTCAAAAATCGAAACCAATTAGCGAAACTAAACTAATGCTTACTGCAGCTTGAAATTTTTTGTTATTTGAATAATAACATTCTCAATGAACGTAACAAAGACAAATTTACCTTGTTGAAAGTATAATAATTTAATACAATTATTACTTATTACAATTTCCACACATCCAAAATTTTCCTTTCGGTTTCCTATGAAGTCCGGCACATTTTAAGTGGTACCACTCTAAACAACAGTCACATCCTATGCTGACTTGAAATTTGTTGAGTTTCTTCTTTTCATTATCATCATCATCATCATCATTATCAACAGTCTTATTTAAATTGAGATTACAGTATTTACATCCCCATTCTTGCAATTTTTCATTTTCATACATCTCGAGAACTTTTTTCCATCCTTGCGTAGTAAAGTATGGCTTAATTATTGATAAATTATTATTTATACTGTCAAGAATAGCAAAAGATAAATCTTCATAGCTGATAGTTATGTCAGATTCACAATGTTGTTGTTTATTATCAGTGATAATTTATCATGTAATTTATTTATAGTTTCATCCGTTACCAAAAACCATTTAAAAATTATTTTCCATTATTCATTAATTAGTTTTTTATAAAAATGGTACAACAGATTCTTTTTGCAGCTTCTTTTGTTTTTCTTAATCCGATAACAGTTTGGTCGGTACCCCTGGGCCTCTCTTGTCATTAAATAACTGGTTGCACAATTATATTCGATAATTGATGTACTGAACGGTTTTTCACATTTTCAGATGTCGATGTTGATATTTGTACATTATTTCCATTTCCGAGACAGTTATTAAAGATTTGAACACTTGGATTTTCTTGTGGAACAGGGTGTAAAATTAATTTTGGTAATTCCATATATAGATGTTATACCAATATTTAAATCTGGTAATAAGCATTTAATGACCAACTATCGACCAATATCACTTATCTCTAATTTGGCTAAACTCTTTGAGAAAATTATACATACTAGATTAATTGAATTTTGCTCTAAAAATAACATTTTATCAGACAAGCAATTCGGTTTTGTTAAAAACAGAGGTACAATAGATGCTCTTACTTTTACCACAAAAAGCATATATAATAATGTAGATAAAAACATTCCAACTGTGTTAGCTTTTCTAGATTTGGCTAAAGCCTTCGACACGGTAAATCATAACATCTTACTTGATAAGCTTTGGAAATACGGTATACGTGGTATACCACACCAACTTCTGAAAAATTACTTAAGCAATAGAACACAATGTATTAAATTAAATAACTATACTAGTGAAACTAAAACTATTAAAGTTGGGGTTCCGCAAGGCACGATTCTTGGGCCTTTGCTGTTTTTATTATACATAAATGATATTTTTAAAGTGATACCAAGCAATACTATAGTTTCCTATGCTGATGACACAGCTATTTCTTGTACTGCAAATAGCTGGAATGAAGTCCAATATAAATTAACTGATTGGCTTAATAAAATAGATATATGGCTCAGGGAAAACCAACTATCTCTTCACGGTGAGAAATTTCTGTAGAAATTTACTATGCATACATAATAAGACTGAACCTTAATGACTCAATTCAAAATATTACCATAAAAATTTAAGAATATCATATTGTACCAATCAATATTTACTAGGGACCATAGTAAATTTGACCATGTAACTGTTACATAAACATATATAAAAAATTTTCGTAAACTGACTGAACAAAAACTGTGAGTGTGCTTAAAACTTTTCATTATAGTTCCATAGTAAAATGTCTGTTGTTCAGTCGACAATAAAAATTTATAAAAAAAATTTGACATTTAGTCACGTGTACTCGGTTTAAACTTAAAATTGTGACTATGAAATTTTCAAATGTCCCATAGTAAACGTATGCGCGTCAGTCGCGACGCACGCTCTTTCATTTTTTCGTGCTGCTTTGTTGTAAGATTCCTAAATAATAAAATATTTAATAATTTACCGTGAAAAATTAAAATGAAAACAAACATTTGATGGTTAACCTGCAACCAACACTTTTCTAATAATATATTATTATTATAATAAAAAATAATTTAAAAGTTATACATTGTGTTTATAATTATTTATAATAAAATTAACTGCCAAAATAAATCCTACGTTCAAATTAAAAAAAATAGAAAACAAATAAAAAAAAACTATATTTTGTTGGTTGCAGGTTAACCATCAAATGTTTGTTTTAATCTTAATTTTTCTCGGTAAATTATTAAATATTTTATTATTTGGGAATCTTACAAATTTTTATTAATTATTCATATGTTGATGGATTTATAAACTAATATTTATTTAAAACAATGTTTATTGCAATTAACATATGAATAGTTAATAAAAATTTGTAAGATTCCTAAATAATAAAATATTTAATAATTTACCGTGAAAGATTAAGATGAAAACAAACATTTGATGGTTAACCTGCAACCGACACTTTTCTAATAATATATTATTATTATAATGAAAAATAATTTAAAAGTTATATATTGTGTTTATAATTATTTATAATATAATTAACTGCCAAAATAAATCCTTCGTTCAAATTAAAAATAGAAAACAAATAAAAAAAACTATATTTTAAAAAAATTTTTTTAAAAATTATTACAAACAAAAAACATCTTGTTTGGTTTGATATTTTTTTTGATTGCTAAAAATATTTTTTACTCTAAAATTTTTTATTTTTTACAAACATTTTCTTATTTTTTTTGCTATAGTACATTCGGAAATTTAAATTATTGCATATTTCATTTTACTATGGTACATTTCAATTTCTACCGTTTGCTATGTCTGATTTCATTTGTTTCGGAAATTACTATGGGCCATTGTAAAATTTTATTCTGAGTCAATAAGGTTCACTAGTAATATGCACCATTGTAAAATTTAAAATCCATGCAGAATAAAAAATAATAGAAATTTTCTCACCGTGTATATAAATAATTAAAAATTTCAATTTTGTATGAAAAAAATTGGATTTTCAATAAAAATACAAGAAATTGAGTAAAATTCCAATACTTTAAAAGCAAACTATCTCTAAATTTGCTTATGGGGCTAATTTTACTCTCATGATTCTACTATATAATTTGTAACTCTATACAGTCAACAGATAACCAGCGAAGCAGACGACGGTTTTGCCGGTAATTAAATAAAAATAATTTTCAACATTAAATGTTTTATTAACATATCAGTCCATGAAGTGAAATAATTCTATTTATTTATTAATTAGTTACTTAATTATCCTGACCTGATCTCTTTAACGCCATTAATTAAAGTAAAATAAAAGTGAGAAAGACGGAACACGAAAGGAGAAAGGATATCGTTCGCAGGCGGAGAGCCCAAGATAACTTGCAATGTTATGATTGTTGGAATTTATTAAATTGATTTGGTTCATCTTTTGGATTTTCCCATTATATTATGGTAATTTTCGGTCTGTATTATATGTCATTTTTATTATGCATGAAACATGAGTATAATCAGTGTAATATACAATTCTTCAAATTACACCAAGTAAATTTTGGGTTAATGGACTCTTAATGAGCTTTTGAATGTTATTACATTCTTTGCTCCTTTTAACTTATACGGCATTATTTATTAGAAAAAAAAATCAGTTAATTGTTTAATTTCACGGTCCACAACATTGCAACCTGTAAAAACCATATTTAGAATGTTTTTTAACAATCACATATTATTTGAAAAGGTTATTAAAAACAGAATAATTAAGAAATATTTTTCAAAAATTCCGATTTCTCCCAATTTAAAAGCTTAAAAATTGACAATTTTTAAAACAATTTTTTTTATTTTTTTATAGAGATAAAAAACGAAAAAAAAAAATACTGTAATTTTTAGGATTTCTTAAAAAATAAATGATTATAAAAAGGATTCATCAAAAAATGCTCCCTATAGGAATTGAAAATAAATATTGACACAATTTTTTTAAATACTAAAATTTATTCATTTTATAAACCTGAGAGAAAATTTTGGATTCATTTTTAAAACTTTTTAATACTTTTTTGTAATTTTTAAACGAATAACAGAAATTTTTTTACTTTTATTCGATAAAAAAAAACTAAAAAATTTATGCTGTAAAGTTTTTTTCTTAATAATATAAATAAAATCTTAGGAGTAAATTTTACCCGAATGGATTGAATCTATTAAAAATTATCCACTCTGCAAATTAATTACAACGCAAAATAAAATGATTCGAAAAATTGAAAAAGAATATTTAAAAATATTAATTTTTCGATTATTTCATCTTAAAAAAATCAGATGACTGTAAAATTAAACAATTACCAAAAGAAAAGAATAACAATTATCATGCCATTATAGTTTATTAATTAATAAAATATTTTTAAAATTGGTATACAAAATGTGGTGGTACATAATTATTAATGATTCTATTAACAATAATAATTACCAACATTTTTCCATTATATAATTTAAAATTCTGTTTCATATCATGGCCGTTGAATTATGAAGTTGCACAACACCAAGTTTGTCCAGAAACAATTATTGGTCGTGATGGTGGTGATGATGAGGCAGTGCCTGTACAGCAATATAATTAAAATTATTATATAACTAAATCATAATCAGGACATAAAAGTGTGAAGGTGAGCGCTAACAAAAGTGTTGACTTAGATTTTTATTCTACGTAATAATTATGATCATAAACTGAGTTTATGTTATAAATGAGTTTACCTTATTGTCATGCAGGCACTTCATTACGAGATAAGCTGTCTGGCACTCGTCACTTCCCTCTGTAATGAAAACATTATTTAATAAATCTTTCTAACATTATTACAAAGTAAAATGTTAAAAATCAACTAGTGCTAATAATAATTAAAAATAAGATGAAAAAATTGAAAATGTTTAAATTTCCGTATTTTAAATAAAAAAAAAATTTTTTTTCTATTTATTCATCAGTTATGGTTGATAACTGTTAACATATAACTGTTAATAACTATGGTTAATAAAATGTTGGGACATTTTTTTTAGCCGAGAATAGTGAAAAATTGGGGTATTTTTTCAACATTTTTGTCAAACATCTGGCATTTTTTTTTTTTTTGACAAATTGTGGTAGATTGTCTCGTAAGGGACTTTTCTTTTAAAGATGCCGTGTTTTTTTTATCTTTCCGATTCACCAATTAACTATCCACCATGGAACAGCATTTTTTTAAGGCCTCAACTTTGGCACCTCCTAGATAGTTTTTAAAAAAATGAAATTGAAAAAAATCAAGCACTTTTGTATTTTATAAACTTCAAATAAAAGTTTAAAAAAAATTAATTGTAATATCCTAGACGGAGTCTGAAAAGAAAATTATTGAAAATTGTGCATTTTTTAGCGTTCCAAAGTCACCTACTCTAAAAAATCTACAACTATACTATAAACATAAAAAAAAACTTACTCTCTTCAATGCATTTTGTGATCGCTTCAACCTTCTTTTCACGATCTGGTATGTCAGCTGGAAGCTTCTCGAGTATTTTGTCTTTGTTGAATTGTCCATCAACCATCTTAACAAAATAAACAAATTTTTACAGGACAAATCTGTTGTAAGATGAAAAATTCAAAAAATATGTACGTACAACACCCATTTCTTTGACCATACAAGCTTCGAAGCATTTTATTTTTTGATCGGGTTCTTCTCCGTTTTTCTGAGCTTCATGAGCCTTATGTAGCTCTTCTTTTTCAATTCCTCCTTCCTTGAGACACTTCTTGAAGGTTGCTTTCATTTTTGCCCTTCTCTCTTCGTCTCCAAGTACCTAAATAATTTTTCAAAAATATTTTTAGGATCGAAACTCACCTCAATCCAACACAAAAATTAGCTTGATTATGTATCAATAGTGAATAAAAATAGTAAAACTTACTCCAACAACAAGAGCACAGGCTACCAGCATAAAAATTGATGAACGCATTGTTTAGTTAGTTAGTTAGTTGTTTGTTCAAAGGACGTTTGAAAAACTTATGTCCATGTTGTGAAATAACTTGTCTTATATACTAGTGACAGATTCATTACCTCCTAGTCTCCCTGAAAAAATAATTGACTTATACGTAATGCTACTATTATTCGTATTCGTGACTTTATTTTTATTGTGATATTTTTTTAACTTACGATCTCGTTTAGTTTTATGAGAATCAAGATCAGCACACAACCGCAAGCGACATAATTACTTATTACCTGAAATCGCTTTTAATGACCGATGGTGAATTGTTATGAATTGTCTATGGATTTTTAGTTCGTGTGGAATTGTGCTGTGTCATTGAGGATTTAAAATTACTTCCTACTCGCGGTATTTTTTATTGAAGATTAAAAATATTACTAAGCTAATTTTTATAATTTTTATCCGGCATGACGATGTTTGAGTAAAAGTTTTTCAAAAATGTTGATTATTATCAAAAGTTACAATTATATATTATTATTCAAGAAAATTCAATAGTTGATTGTTTGTGAAAACTAATTTGTAATTGATACTAGCGGACCCGACAGACGTTGTTCTGTACACACGTCTTAAATTTAGAAATTTTAAGATTATTCGAATAAGCTGTTACCGTTTAGACCGTTTTGATGAAAATTAATTATTAAAACGTTATTATAATGGAATATTTCAATTAACTCGTAATTGATTTTACCACAATAATACAAAATTTTCTTGAATCTGATGGCAGCGCCTTCTATCAGATCACACTGAAATTAAAATAAAATATTTTGGAATATTCGATACTGCGACCGCAGTGCTGTCTGCCAGATCCAACGTAAAACATTCCAAGATCAACAACAATTTATAAAAAATAAGAAATCAATTAAATAAACGTTTTTCCGTGGACTAAATTGTAAATCTAAACCATTCTCGAATCCACCTGAAGACACACAACCAATTTCATCACAATCGGTCGAGTCATTTAGGAGGAGTTCAGTGAGAAACACACGCACAGAAGAAATATATACGGTAGATAAAGATATTGAAAAAAATTGCAATAATCTTACCGAAATATTCACAATTTAAACCTCTGCTACTTAAGTTTGAAATATTTGAAACTCTCAATAGGCAGCGCACGATCCATGAATTTTCTCAGTCCCCGAGAATTAAGTCACATGTTCTAAGCTCCGATAGATAATAATATTATTATTGTTAAAAATTGACTCACAATTGTATCATTTGAAATAAATATGATAAAATTTTGTTGAATACTTCCATGAATTTTCACTAATTATTGCTTACTCTTTAACTTTGTATATTTTGTATCAGTATTTGAAAAGTGAAATATCATTCAATCGATTCCATTTTCTGTTAACCATTCTTGAAGTTTCATTTTTTTTTTTTTTTTTTTTTTCTTAATTTGTTTAAAGTCGCATAAACTACTAAGGTCATGAGCGACTACGGTAGGGGGTAAACTTTTGAGATTGGAACTCGTTTTATTTCTTGGGCTGAGCAGTATAATACACTTAAATATTGAAAATATTCATTGGTGTACGCCGGACTCGAACCCGGTCCAATGCTTTGGTAAGCAAGGGCCGGATCCGATAGGCTACTGCGCGCCTCATTTTTTTTTTTTATTTTTTGAAACTTAAACAATAAATATGTCCGAGTGGATAAATATACGATTTAATACTTATCGCAAAATATTGATTTTCTCTAAAGCTTTTATTGTAAGACGATAAAAATTTATTTGCTGTAGAACTTGGTAAAGCGATTGAAATTAATCTAATTTGATCAGTCAATTAGGCTACAAGCAGTTTATATTACTCTTGCAGGAAAGATTATTTTTTTATTGTAGGAATTGCTTTTTTTTCACGACGTTAAAATAAACTGAAAATTTAAATGTTAATTTCAATATAATAAATTGAAGAGAACTATACAATAATTTTACCGAAATTTGTATAATTACTTCTTGTAATAACAAGAGTTTACAGCGATATACACCTGCATGGAGAAATATATAAATGAAAAACATATTTTGACATATATTTTTTTTGTGCTAAATATATGTTTACTTAAATTTTGAAATATATTACCGCCTATATGTTGTCATATATGTTCATACATATATGCAAGCATAAATGTGTACATTATGAAAACGTTCTAATGAGCCGTTTTTTACAAAGTTATGGGCATTGAAAGAAAAAGTGACGTCTTTTTTTGAAAATCAGTAGGGATGCCTCATATAATAATTTTTCTTAAGTCACATGTATCAAACAACCACGTATCAAAATATACTTAAGAATTTAATTTATCTGCGTAGTTATTTGTCAATCCCCGACTCGAGTTGGCTCACCAGAGTCCAAGTTCTTGGACGGGGATCGCGTTATTAGAACAAAAAAATAATAATTACTCGATTTAATGACAAAAATGAACAAAAGAAACCTCTTTATTGGCCTGACTAATTATTTACACTAATTATAAATGCCCATCAAATGTTCAAAAAATGTCTTAAAAGTATTAAAACAATTAGGAAAACGGTTGATCCTGAAGATCATCTATGCAACTTCCCGCTAATTTCATACCTAGGTGCTTAAAATTGCACTTATATGTAGACACCCATAAGCACCCATAATATAAACTGTATACAAAAGAAGAAAAAATTTGTGCTTTCGTTTTATGTGTATAAGCCATAAAATTGAAAATAAGAAATAAAGAAACTTTTTAGTTTTTATTGTCTAAAAATTTGACTTTCGCAGAAATATAAGAACTTTATTTTGTTATTCTTGAACACTAGAAATTGCAGTATGATAAAAAATTAAAAAATAATTTTTTTTTCTATATTTTAAATTCCATATGAAATTGATAATCATTCGAAAAAAAAAATTTTATTGCTCAGATACCTTTTTTAAACAAGTAAAATTTTGCTACTTTGTAATAAATGTTACATTTGCATAAATGTCTTAGTCACATAAAATTAATCGGAAAATTACCCAGGATAGTCATAATCATAACCCGATTACCTAATTACCTTTTTTCCAAATAATTAATTCTCTTCAGAAGCATTATCTATCCCAATCAACCTCAAAAAAAAATCAACAACGTCGTCTCTCACCATAACCATCAGAGAAAAAAAAACAATGCTCAATAAATTTCTATTGAAACCTACAAATAAATAACAGCGATAAAAAAGGCATTAATTAATTTTCACCGCGCTATATACGCATATTATCTCCTATCCTTTATGAACATCAAACGTCTACCATCGACCTGGGATTTATTTAATGATCATTAACATTTGCATTCAGTTGAACATTTACACACAAATACACCATAGACACAAAACACATCATAACTAATAATAGACAGCTTTAAATTAGTAATCCACCTAATAATTCATTTAAACGTTTCGTTGATTCACACGGCCACTCGTTATCTAGAACGAGGAGTGTAGTACCATATTCAACATTGGTAAACACCGAACAATTATGATGTTAACTAAATCCAACAACTAACACATGCAGGCATAAAAACAACTACCTACATATGAGTATTTTGATATAAACATAGTAATAGAATGTTAATTTAAGTACTTACTAGATCCATACAAAGTAATGATAATAATAATAACGATATTTGTGATATAAGTGAGCATAGTTTTAAAACTACAGTAAAGTACGATAAGTGAATTCAGTAGATGAGTAGGTGTGCAATGATGTTTGTACAGAACTTAATGCATTAAGTGGTCAACGAAGCAGTGATTACGTGTTTAATGCATCCATAAATGCATATTCACGCTCTGTATGGTGTAACAAGACCCAAGTTCTCACGAACATGTGGCAGGAGTTAATTACTCTCTACGTTCTTTATAAAAATGATACCTTCATGGATAACAGGCCAGTCAGTGGTGTGTTATCATCAAATATGATGCTTCAAGACATTAGAGTTTGTGCTTTACTTATTGTATTTCTCTATGGATTTATCGGTGGTTCCTACAGTGAGCCCGCATTTCGACGGCATCGCACGCTTAATTATCAATTGAGTAGTAATAATAATAATCACAATAATGATAATAATAATCATAATTCTAAAAGTTTTGATAAGGCCAATGATAGTAAAGTGACAGTTGATTGCGTGGGAAGTCGTGCTGATTCACCAGAGTGCAAATTGCTCGTTAAAAGTCGTAATGATACTATTGGGAGTAACGGAACGATTGACAGATTTAAGGACAGTAATGAGGAGGATTCAGATCAAAACCAATCTTTGATTGCTGAGGTGTTTGGTGATGGTGATGATAGTGCTCTTGAAGAAGGTAAGGACTGTTGGGCGGATTGTAAATAGTGTACTTTATAAGTGATAGGCTTTTTAAAATAAAATTGTATTGAAAAGTATGGGAATCTTGCTTGAACTGATGAATTAGAATTGTTAGATAGGAAACAGAAAATTTTTTATAGGAATTCTAGGGCTTATATGATACATATCGCTACCAAGAAAAATTTGTCGGTAATTTTAAGTGAGGCAATACCGATTGAAGTATGTCGCGTCGTAAAAAAATATATCATGTTATTCGGTAAAAATATACTTCTTCAGTAAATAATTAAAAGATTGATCGGACTTAAGTTATTTATTTGTAAAGTCAGGAAGTTGAAATTAAACACAAATCTTTAGTAATATTAATTATAGACAAATATTGGTCACAGGTATTAAAAATCAATGTAACTGTAATTATATTACAGGTGATTTATCTTCAAAAATAGATTACCTGTCGGGTCGATAAAATATTATTTTTAAATAATTTTTTTTAATTTTTAGAGATTAATGATGATCAACATTCATGTTGATATCTTGACTATGAGACTGAAAATTAAATTATATTTTTTCAAGGGTGAAACTATCAAGAGTATAAACTTTTAGGTTATCCAATAAATATAAACATTTATTAAATATCCATTTTATTGACATATTTCAAGTAACTAGACTGTAATTATTAATTATATATTCGATTGTTCTAAAAAAATAGTTTGTATATGTTTTAATACATTTAAATATTAATGACATAATCTAGGTTGATTGATGTAAAAGAACAAAACTAACCTATAAAAATATAACTGGCATCAGCATTGTGAGTGTCTAGCTCCACGCTATCTACCTTCGCAATTTAGACTAAGTCCTTGAGAATTAGTTTTCGGTTCAAGAATTATTATTATACTTACTGTGGAATTTTTAAGCATGAATAATGACAAATATTGAGATAAAAATTGAAAATCGGATGCAATCGCGACACTTGTACGGTTATTTTGTTATTTTAGTCTGTAAAATATAGTATTTGACAATAATATAGATAATCTCATGGATAATATCGCTTTTTATTATAAATATTGAGGTGTAAAAAAGGTTAAAATAAATAATTTTGTATGACATTTGAAAAATTTGTAACAATTTTTAAATTTGTTAATTATCATTGACTCGAGAAATTTTCTCATTAAATCTTTTCAAAGGTTACTGATCAGATTTGTATCGTGTCTTTGTAGAGAAAAGTTAAATTTAAAAGAAAAAAAATCAATAGTCATGCGACGAACTTAAATCCACTGGTTCGTAAGCTCAAAAGTTACAGTTACATAGTGGCCCATCGAAGGCGCCGTGGCTTAGTTGGTTAAAGCGCCTGTCTAGTAAACAGGAGATCGGGGGTTCGAATCCCCCCGGAGCCTTGCTGTCAAAATATTTTTTTTCTAAATAAATTTTATTATTTTTTATTTTAAGCAATTTAGGTATTGATTATCTTAAAATTTGGCATTGGTAAATAAATAAATTGACATAATTGTAACTATAATTACAGGTCGAGGAAGGAAAAAGAAAAAAGGTAAGGCAGGAATATTTTTCATGGTAGCAGCAGCAATGAAAGCAACATTATTGTGGGTAATGGTGCACGCAACGGCACTTCTTGCCGGTAAAGCGTTCGTCATTGCAAAAATAGCTCTAGCCTTAGCCGCAGCAGTCGCGCTCAAGAAATCCCTCGGTAATTAGTCAGTACTCAATCACTATGTGTAGATTGTGAGAATTACAAGTAATTTATTTTATATTTGTTGTAGATCACGGTGAAAAAACTTCCTATGAGATAATAAAACACCCTCAGCACAGTTACGCTTCCTCACATAGCTCAAGTATCGATTACGACCATCATGGCGGATTCGAGGGTCATCGCAGAAGGAGATGATTTGCTCAATATATTTAATTAATTAATATTTCATATTTATTGTACTATTTATTTATTTATATTTATATTTATTTATTTTTAAATATTTGTATCGAAAATTCAGCGAATAAAAATGTTTGTAATTTATTCTTAGATTTTTTTTACATTGGAAATGATGTTCGATAGGGAAAACGCATACAATTTAATAAAAATTGTTTGCAGAATTTTATCAGTTCTGAACTCAGTATTGAAAATTTTAAATTCAGTCCAGTAAGTTTTCAAAACTGTTGAGAACTTTTCTTTTTAATATAGGACAGTTTGAATTAAACTGGCTATCTACTAAATCTAAGAGAAGTTACTTCTTGACGTGTTACTTATACACTGTAAAAAAAGCGGTGTTAAAATGGACTCATTTTAACACCGCTAAGTAACACCTGTGTATTAACACCGGTATAGCGGTGCTCTTTTGCGGTGTTAAACCGGTGTAACAGTAGAATAAATTTACACCGTATCGGAGTATGAATATTACATGATCCATAAAACACAATTAATATTCAATATTTATCAAAATGAGACAAGTAATATTTATTTAATGAAGTACGAGCACCAAGGCAACTTTTGATAAAAGGCTTGATTTTTTTTTTAATATGAAGTTTAAATATGTCTAAACAAATTCTCAAAATTTGAAGGAGATTGCCCGATTATTTAAATAAATAATTAACTTTAAAGTTGAGCAATTTAACATTGGTCTTATGGGGTAACCTTCAAACATTGATACATTTCTGTATTTTTCTCGTAAAACTGTCGATGAATATTTTTAAAAAACTTATGGATGAAAGTAAATATATTAGTGATAAATTTAATTCAAAAAAATTTACACTTACCCGACTAATTAAAGTGTATTAATTGAAAGAAAAGTAAATGTCGCCGTCAGTCAATGTTAAATGTATATCTATATATTGAGAAAAATCATATGGTCACTGCTCTCCCCTTACCGCGCTAGAGTCGATACCTATCCCCACCCCGCCTAGCGCTCGTACTTCCTTAATTGATTTTATTTAAATGCCAAGGCCCAATAGCCAAATGGCAAAATTATATAGTGAGTATACACAGATGTATCGTATAAGTACATAAAGTAAGTATTAAAAATTTCAAGATTGAGAGATTTATAAAAATTTTCTAATTCTATTATAATATTATTAAAAATATTCTTCAAAACGTTTGTAATTTCAGCTCAAAAAATTAATTTATATTTTACAATTTACCTTCTACTTCGAGATTCAAAAAATAATTTAATTTCATCCATAAGTTTTTTAAAAATATTCACCGACAGTTTTACGAGAAAAATACAGAAATGTATCAATGTTTAAAGGTTACCCCATAAGACCAATGTTAAATTGCTCAACTTTAAAGTTAATTATTTATTTAAATGATCGGGCATTAAAAAAAAAATCAAGCCTTTTATCAAAAGTTGCCTTGGTGCTCGTACTTCCTTAAAAGAAATTATTTTTCATTTACTAGTCAGAAAATTTTAAATGACTATCGATTCTGGACTGGTTATTTTCATTCGGAAAAATAACGGTTAGTTAAATTAGTTTAAATTAAAAATTTTTTATAGTAAAATTATTATTTTGTTCCATAATAATTTAAACAATAAAGAAATCTTCTACTTAAAAAAATTTTACAGTTCTATAACCTTAGAAAAAAAATCTATTTATAAATTAAAGTGTATTATCGATAAAAAAAAAAAAAAAAAGCTATAAATGCAGATCGTGAAGTTTAAACAAATTTATCTATTAAAAGATCAGTTTATAACCAAACGAATTTTATTATGAAGAGAAGAAAGCAGTATTAAATCATAATGATATTACGAAGAAAATACTGAAACCTTATTATCAAGTTTTATTATGGTAAAAACTTCTTTCTCGAGATTGTTCAACAAAGATTTGTAATGATCATTTATTTGTCATTTAATTTTTGAAGTTATATATTTAAATTTTTATTATATTTCATGTTTCGTTCTCGAGATCACTCTATAGTACTGCCTGCGGACGCTAATTGTGAATACAAAGTTTAAATATTAAAAAAATGAATTTAGCCATGATATAGCTCTTCTTTTGTCTAGCCTCATTCTGTTTTTTTGTACGCCTATAGTCACAACGTATTTCTTTTTTACTTCATTAATTAATTGAATTCAATTATTTAATTAATTTATTATGTTCAAGCAACGAGCTGAATTTCCACTAGACATTAATTTTCTGAAAAGAAAATTAGAAAAATATCAATATTTAATTGATAAAATGTCTACTTTAAACGAAGATAGTGACATGTCTGTCAAATCTGACGACGAAGGTACATTTTTCTGAGATCTTTCTTATACTAATGTATATATTAATTTTTTCTTTCCAATTTTTGATGACAATGGATAATTTTTAGTTGTTCAACCAATTAATTACAATCGAAAAAATAAATTAAATATCACAAAAATCATCTGTTGACTGACTTGTAACTTTTATAGCATAGTAAACAAATTTGGAAATTCACAATCTATAAAATAAAATTGAATCAAACACTTAAATGATTCTTAATTGCTTGAACTACAGCTTTGCAAGTGAAAATTTTGCGTCACTTCACGTCACCTATCGGCTGATCATGGAACTATTTATATACCCGATGAAAAAAGTTTTTGTCTAATTATATATGATCATATATAATTGTATATATACATATATGAGAGCATTTATAAGTCTATATATAATTAGATATAATCATAACTGGCTGTTATAACTCCATATATAATCATGTATAAGTCTATATATGATCAGATCTGATTATATATAAGTCTACATATAATTATATATGATCATACCCGGCTATTATAGTTCCATTTATAGACATATATAAGTCTATACATAATCAGATCTGATAATATTTATAATTCCCAAATTTTCAAATAACTTTAATACTACATGAATAAATAACTGAAAATTACATTTCATGATAAATTGATAAATCATACACAAAAGATTTTTCATTTGGCATAAAATTGCATGAAAAAGAATAATAATATCAATTTCATATTGTATTTAAAAAATAAA